CTATTGCCGAGTGCGACGTTGAACAACAGACCCGTGAAGATCGGGGGTAGAATAGGTCTTCAGCAACCCATTCTTGTTGTAAGAGGCGACTAACGGGATCGGTAGGACAGGCTCGCTGACTTGGTTGATACTTGTCATCGCATTACAATTGCGTGGATTGATGGCCATGATGTCAATCACTGGATAATTTACAGACTGGCAACATACAGCTGGAATATTACTGAGTGCAACAAACGAACGTTGAACAACCAAACGACGAATGCTTGGGTCAAATTTGTTGCTCATTACGTCAACCACTGGTTGCATGGCAGAGACTTGTTTCAACGGTTCGCCTGTGTCTGGCTGAAATATTGTTGATCGCTGCGTTAAAAAAAAAATAAGAATAAGAAAAACAACACATTTTCACATGTCCAGGTCAAATTTCTACTCTGATTTGTATTTATATATATAACAGTACGTCAAATCCTTGTGTTAAATATGAACACGATATCGCGTTTGATCTAACCCCATGAAGTGCAGGTGACCATGCTTGAGTTGGGTCTGATGTACATGTAAAAAGCCTCGATCTGTAAAGGTTTCCGCTCCTATTCATTGAACAGTTAGCATTTGAGATAATGTCACCGAGCTATTGCAGTGATAAATCAGACGCTGAAACCAGCAAGGAAGTTGAAAGTCCTTACATTCAGCTGTCAAGATAGTCGTAAATAACTGGGCAGGAAATTGAATATACTACAATGGTGAACTATATGTGCATTGAGCTGTTTGTAACGTACTCTGCACTTCAAGATCCTGTGAAATATGAAGTTTATTCATGCATGAGACTGTTATTCAATAGGCGTCCAACAATAAATTATTTCAGCGGGCAATGGGTCCAAAAGCACACATTAAACGATGCAAATGGCAGTTTGTGTCTGTAAACATTTAGAAATCTGATGTGTTATGTTGAGGTGTACAAGGGTTAGTGAAGAATGGAAAAAAATTCCTAGTGTTGACAGTGGAAGTGTTTCTAGGTCATACAATTGAAAGAGTTCACAGGGCACGAGTGGCCCAGTCATCTATGGCACCGCAATTCACAACTATAGCCAGTCCGTGGAGAGCTCTACTATCGCTGCCACTGTAATAGCAGCGTTAGAAATTGGCACTAGTCCTGTAGTCCTTGCCATACTGCCCAATAGTTAAGGTATCATAAGGACTAGTAGAAATGTGCTACTTTTAAGGGTTTTGCTATATGTTATCGTTATAAAGACTTGGCTGAATGGGTGACCACAACCATGCTGCAGCTGACTGACCGTTATTTTTACAAACAAGCGATAACTGCCATGACGTGAATACTTTTAGTACAGCTAAATTATTTTCTTAGTTTTGTTTATATTTGAATCTTTTCAACTATTATGTGATTTTCCATTTGTCTGCAATTTTGAGCCAATTTGATTAAACAAATGAAAAGGTAATATCTAGTCAGTCGTTAACCTTTTCATAATTCCCTATGAAGGCCTTCCCAAACAAGATATAAACAAGACTACATTTGGAGTTAGAGGGCAAATTTCAAGATTTTTGGGCAGCGATATTACTGAGAATGTAACAAAATTGTCACGCTAGAAAGGAGCTTGTGCAATTTGCTGTGCTGAGTTGCGTCCCTTGGGCATGCCAGAAAACCTTAGATCATGAGTTTGCATCCCTACCAGTGTTCGTCCCGATTATGTTCCCAGGTTTGTCAAAGCCATACCCGTGCTTGAGGGTTTCACCAAAGTGGTAAATGTCTGAGACCTGCATCACTTCAGGCTTTCCTCCCATATCAAGCTGACTGGAGACCCTAGAGATCCGGGGTAGAATAAGTCTTCAGCAACCCATTCTTGCTGTAAAAGGCAACTAGTTTGTTGTAAGCAGCGACTAAAGGATGGTCAGGCTCGCTGACTTGGTTGATGCATGAAATTGATTTCAAACCCTGGTATGAAATGTTAATCCACTATGATGCAGGGGTAAATCTAACTGGTCCACAGTTCATTTTGGACTAGTTTTTGTGTGTGATATATTAGATCTTTTTTAGAAATCACCCCTTTCTTGGTGTTCAGTAAGCACTAGTGGACTGGTGGCTGTGTCTGACCCTGACAACTATGGAGCGTTATACCACGGCTCAGTGGTGTGTATTACTGATATATGTTATGGTGTATTCTGTTATTAGGATAAATGAAGGAAGTCTACTAGCCCGAATAGTGTTGACAAACTGTACTTACCCCAAAATAACTGAAATTTTACACAACAACAGTGGCCTGGGCTAGTGCTAATTTCCGTCCCTGGTTATTCTACTGGTGGCTGTGATGAAATATAACAAATTCACACACTGTTGTAAGCTAACACTGTTGCAGTGTGACTGTATAGATGCTGGTGGACTGACAGTGGGCTGGCTGTGTGTATAAATATATACATACTGTATGTAGGTGGAGGCGGGTGGGGTGGATGACCTGCTTGTGGAGGAGATAAGATAAATAGTACACATCTCATAGGGCGATACATCACTGATAACACCCAACCAGGGTATATATATTGCTGATAGTAACTCTAGCCTCTTGTCATTCTGGATAGTTTATGACGTTACGTTTGGCGCACTAACTTTGAATCTGGTTATTTGTTACTACTAGTAAGTAGATACACCGGGGTATGTCCACAGGGTCTTTACTTGAGGGCCAGGGGCCACTTAACCACTAACTTTTGATGTTGGACAATAGGACCCAACACTGATCCCTTGGTGATTATTCCTAATTTGTTATTAACAGCTTTAGGGATGGTACAGGTGGCCCAGTCTTAAGGGTCTGCAATTCACTGTGCAGTGTCTTTACGGAGGTGTACCTGAAACCTATGATCGTGTTTTCGAATCCCAGTTGGCTCTGCTTATTTTTCAAAATTTGTCAGCATCGTACCCAAGCTCATGGGTTCCTCAAAAGTGGTAAATGTTGTAAGACCAGAAATACTGTTCAGTCTGTGTTAAACCAGCTCTCTGACTATTAACATCATTTTACGGGGATGATGAAGTTGATTTCGTTGACCGTGGTACAAGTAAAGTTTAACCTTCATACTGACCTATGAGATCCTGTCGATGTCAGAATAATTGACACCTTCAGTAAGTTAACGAAAGCATATGGGTCTGTGCTGTGTATTATCTTGTATCATCAGTGCTAGACTTGCACAAATCTCTAACTTAAGGCAATAATTATTAGTTGAAAGCATATTGTTTTAGATTTTATAAATAATAAGATCAAGTTGTCCCAGTAAAAGTCCCAATAAAAGACTCACTGTCTGCTTATCTAGACTTGCCTATTATAAGGATAGAATTATGATACATCCATAGACTTATCATTCAGTACAGCCTTGGAGCACGGCTTCATCAGTGCTCGAAATGAGTGATACTTTCATTGGGTCCTGCCATGACCAGTCTGTTGGCATTAAACCAAGCAGCCTCTGTCTCTTCATCCAAGTCATCTCTCCAGGTTCAGCAACCCATGCTTGCCGTAAAAAGCGACGACTCTTGTCGTAAGAGACTAACGGGATCGGGTGGTCAGGCTCGCTGACTTGGTTGTTGCATGTCATCAATCCCAATTGCGTGGATCGATGATCATGATGTCAATCACTGGATTGTCTGGTCCAGACTTGAATATTATCAGACTCGCTGACCTGGTTGATGCATGTCATCAATCCCAATTGCGTGGATCAATGATCATGTCAATCACGTGAATGTCTGGTCCAGACTCGAATATTTTCAGACTTGCTGACTTGGTTGATGAATGTCATCAATCCCAATTGCATGGATCGATGATCATTTGTATGCTTGCTGAAAAAGCTTCTTTGGGTTTATACGCGTGCTGTTTGTATACATTTGCAGCGTTAGAAATTGGCACTAGTCCTGTAGTCCTTGCCAAACTGCCCAATAGTTAAGGGTTTCATAAGGACTAGTAGAAATTTGGCATTTTTAAGGGTTTTGCTATATGTTATTATAATGACTAGTGGACAAAAAATGTTAGTTTCTATCGCTGATTTGATGCATTTAATGCATGCGTTTCTGTACGTAAGTTAAGTGAAGTTTTAAATATGTTTTGTGGTTATTTTACACAAATACACGGCTTATCTGTAGCTCTAGTATTATTATATTAGTGCTGTAAGATGTCAGTTTACTCGCCGTTTGTTGATGCTCGTGACATGACTGTCAATCCTGTGCGTGCCTCGTTTGAAAGGTTTCAGTCTGTGTGCTTTAGTGCTGCCGTTTCCATGTTTTCGGCAACGTGCTTCCAGGGTTATGATGCTGTTTCTTAGTTGTTGGTTACGTTCTCATTGGTTTCTGTTGATGATTCTTTGTGCAGTGTGGACCTTTGACCGTTTTATTTTGCTGCAGTCTGTCAGTCTTCATGGTAGACCTGTTACTATACAGGAAGGTTGTTGTGTGTCCATTTGGGAAGATTCATCAATTATTTTAGGAAATACAAACATGTATATGATTATCGTCTTTACTTGAATTCTTCTAAAACTTCTCTTGATAATTTGAAGTCATTGTTAAGGAATGAAAGTGTTTTTAAGCATAGTCAAATTTAGTTAGTTATTGTCTGTTGTGATATTTGCTTTTAGCTGCCAGACAGGTGCGACTCCAAGCAGCCTGTAACTTATGTGATGTCTGTATTAACCAGGCAGGAAATAAGCAATTGAACAGGTTGTTGTTGCTTGTACATTGAATGGATATCTTTTCACATAGAACTATATTATCAGCCAAGCACCTGTTGAACAGTTGACTACAACTTAATACATCTCTGTTGACCAAGCACCGGTTCAACAGGATACCTTGTTACATAGATCTATATTATCAGCCCAAGCACCTGTTGATCAGTTGACTACAACTTGATAATCTGCGGTGACCAAGCACCTGTTAAACAGCAGCAAATCTTTGTGTGATTGAACCAGCATTCACTGTCACACTGTATTAATTTGTGGAGTAATAAGCCTTTGTTCTATTTCAGCTGAGCTGCCACATGGAGTGAGTGTCGTGATTCAGCCCCTGTGTGAATGGAGGCAGTGGGGCATGACTGGCTACACAGGTTTGCTTCATGGCTGAATACAGCACTGCTCAGATTACCACCGGCCCCAGGCTGTAGGACATGTTCTCACAGGGGTGGACTGGGAGGCAAGAGTTGAGCTGAGACACATGTAGAGGCCTGTTACCAGTTTTAGAAACTGGTGCCTGTCCTGTCCGGCAGCAGGAGCCAGGGGGATCTGTGGGTACATCTAGCAGGTGCCCTCTACCTGCTGTCTGTCCCATGTCCAAGGTAACATAGCTACAGAACACAGACAGCCTGAGAGAGTCAGAAGGTTACATGGGCCAAGCTGAGACTAGGGTTAGAAATTAATTTTTGCTTCCACGTGTCTGCCAGCAATGTCTCTAGATTCAGTCGCCAACTGTTAGATACATAAAAGTCCTGTATTTTACTAGTTATTGACTGTAAAAGCTTATAACTGTTTGTCACTAAGATTGAACTCAATTGTTTCTCTGGTAACCTATTTTTTTAAATATAATTTACTCATTTGACCAGGGCGATATATTCGAAAGTTAACTAATTTCTACTATCAGTTGCTGAATTTATTTGAAAAGTCCTTTACACAACCCGTGTCCCAGCAGTGAGGCCCTTGGTATTGAGCTAGGCAACATCAAGCCGTGATATAACTGGAATACTGTTCCAAGCAGTGTTAAACCGAACTCACTCACTTTTTTAATTTCTATCAATCAAGAGCTGAACAAATTCGAAAAATCCTTCACACAACCCCTCTGTCCCAGTACTGAAGCCCATGGAGTTGAGCTAGGCAACATCGAGGTGGCTGTTTGGCAGGTAGCTATGATCATATCATACTAGAGCTAGGCAGTCATACAATGCACTGGGCATTCCCCAATCACAGAGGTCCATCTCCAGGGATATACACAACACAAGCAAAAAGCCCAAGCACTTACACGCCCTGGAAGCACTTGTCAAGTACTGCAATATTAAGTTCTAACAAAGGAAATCTGCCTAACAAATCTGCAGTTAGTGCTGGGAGCAGGTAGGTGCATGTTTCAGCTTTATGAGCAGGGTTAGAAATCAACGCTAGCCTGCTAGCCCAAGGCTACTAATTTGTATGGGCAGGTACATATGCTCTTCAGCAACCCATACTTGCCACAAGAGGCGACTAACAGGGTCGGGCAGTCCGACTCATTGACTAGGTATGCATGTCGATGCTCATGATTTCAATCATTGGATTGTCTGGTCCAGCTTCGATTATTTACAAACAGCGCCATACAGCGTCAACACTGCTGACTGGCTTGAAACAACATGCATTTCCATCAGGAAAGTAGGTCGAGACGAGTGCAATATTACTCAAATCTCTCATTAAGTCATGATGGGAATATTTTTAATTCATTTTATTAGAAATATTTTATGTTCATGATTCTGAAATGTGCCGAAAGTGGTTCATCGTTGATGTTGGATATAAATATCTCGCATCAAAGGTCACTGCTACAAGTACTTGGAAAAGAACCAGTGGAACAATATTAGGTGGAATTGTCCGCCCTGAAACCAACACTACTTTAATACAGTTGACGAAGGTTGTCCCGCATCCCGCATCCCGCATCCCACATAAAGCTATATATAACTGAAATACTGTTCAAACCTCTACTGCTCGCTGACTTGGTTGATCATGTCATCGTATCCAAATTGCTCATGTATCAATCACTGGATTGTCTGGTCCAGACTAGATTATTTACAGACCACCATCATATAGCTGGAATATTGCTGAGTGCGGCATCAAACAGCAAACAAACAAACAAAACAACTGATAGTCACTTTCTTCCATATCTGTATTTGTATAATATTTGCATGCAGCACACTTCTTTTCCTCGGCATTGGCAAAGTGTGGTTAAAGGGAGATAACTCTTAACTTCTGATCAAACCATGGATAGAAGTTAATGGTTGCTATGTCCATGTCAAGGAGGGATTTATATAGACCATTTCAGAGGCTGATATTCGGCCCCAAGTGTGCGCCAAGTCCGGGCTTGATTTGAGGGACTTGGTTAAACTTGCACCAGGTGCATGTTGACATTAAAACATAAGATGCATCCTGATCCCAACTTTACATAAATATGAGTCAAAACACAGATGCATAACCTGGTCTAAATATAAAAGCTCAGATATGTGACGACTATCACAATTTTTCATAATTTAGTGTTGTATTGCTGTAAAACGTGAAAGGAACGTACTCATAGCCTTGAAGTACCCACATTTACATAAAACACAAAGATTACTGGTATAGCAGGGTACATAAAGCTTAATGGTATTGAGTGAGTTCAATAATCGTTGGGATGAAAAGAAAAGGTAAGTCGGACACAAATTTAAATTTGTTTTACCGCACTTAGTGCATTTAGCTATAAATATTAGCATGCACTATTCAATAATAGTTTGCGCTGGTGCATCTTTTACATAACTAATTTGAGCCATTGGCAAATGACAGTAAAATTTCCAAATTTGAATTTAGAATTTCACAATTCCTCAAGATTTACAAAAATATGAACATTAAAAAAATTCACAGTTTGAATAATATCACATTTTTTGGAGAATAAGATGCAAAAGAAGCTGTATGAATTGTTGAAAACCGTTGAAATCTGAGGATGTGCGTTACGTTTAACTGACAGTTGTGGTCTGATAGTTTTGCTCTGACAGTTGAGTTGTGGTAAGATCTCGGTCCAGTTCGTATTTGTGTGTGGTAGTCCCTGGATTTGCTGCTACAGAATATATTTTTTTTTTATTGTTGTAATATTGGTATGATAAGGACATTTGGACTTTTCTCGCTTCAAACATGGACTTTAGAAGACTTTTCATGACCATATGCAGCTGGACGCGTCAATCGATTTTGTGTTCTGTGGAAGGTCTTGATGGGAGCAACCTTGAAGATATGTCCAAATTGCACTCGTCCCGGCCTGCTATAGGATGCCCAGACAACCGTTGACAGGACCATTGCCAGCATACACCGAGTCCGTATCTAGAATACATCAATTCCTTATCTAGATTACACCGATTGCATACACTGATTCCATATCCTGCATACACTGATTCCTTATCCTGCATACACTGATTCCTTATCCTGCATACACCGATTCCTTATCCTGCATACACCGATTCCTTATCCTTCATACATCGATTCCTTATCCAGCATACACCGATTCCATATCCTGCATACACCGATTCCATATCCTGCATACACCGATTCCATATCCTGCATACACCGATTCCTTATCCTGCATACACCGATTCCTTCTCCTGCATACACTGAGTCCGTACCTAGAAAAACACAACCTAGATCTAACCCTGATTTGTATCCAGCATACACAGTCCATATTGAAATTTGTGAAGTATCTTGTCAGTGTCAGGGATTGCAGTTTCAGTTGTCTTGATGATCTTGAAGTGGGTATTGTGTCTTGGGTTTCGAGGCCCATCAGGGCAAGTGTAAAATTGAGAACACATAGTTTTAGTCTTCATTGTTGAAATGATGTGAACTTGTCAAGCTTGACTGAGATATAAGGAAATTCTGCTTCTCTGTTAGCCGTCATGTCCGGAGACTTTGGGAACTGAATTTCGTAGACTACATTTTTGTCAACTAAGATTATCTGGTTCTCATCTTGATCTGTGTAGCCAGGTTTTGTCGACTTAGCAAGGAGAATGGTTGTATTTGTCACTGCCAGTGTTTGACTATATAGCCAGGTTCTGTCACTGTAAGGTTGTTATATTTGTCACTGCAAGTGTTTGACGTGTGTAGCCAGATCCTGCTGGCTGGCAGAGGGACACGGGCAGGTCGTGATTTGCGCAATCCTTGGTTGATACAGATTCCAATTGCACTTGTCCCGGCCTGCTTGTGACACCCCACCACATCCCCAGCACACAGATCTCGCCAACGTCAGGAGTCCAATGCTGCCACCTGTAGAGACAGTTCCCTGTAATGTCTCAGTCAGGTTGATACGACACAACACATGGGTCACGATACGATATATAGAGAGAATCTCACCTGAGTGTCTTTTGATATCACCCAAGTTAGATTTTATTTATCATACAACATCATTCTTCCAACTTTTTCAGTTTGTAGACTGTAATTAGCAGTGTCTTAGTGTAAAAAGTACTGTAGCAGAGCAATTAGTGTTGTCATTTGATTGTGGCATCATGGTAACCAATGACATCACAATGGTCCAGGGTTCGAAATTAAGGGACGCTAAGACGCAAAATGCGTCTTAATTTATGATTTTGCGTCTATAAATCAAAATAAAGACGATATTTTTTGCGTCTTGCTTTTTCCCCGTTTAACAATTGGTTGAGAAATACCTAAGTTTCTAAATTCACTGTGATAACATTTAAATTCGCGAAGATTTTCCTTGATTTGTTTACCTCCAATTTAGAGTTACCTCCCCATTCGCGTTTCCGGGAAAACCTTTTACTTCTTTTCAACTTTCGTGAACGCGGACTATTCCGAGCTCTTTTTGACCAATGAACATATAGCACGGAGCTTAATATTATGCAAATGACGTTTGTCTATTTTCGGGAGACCAATCAAATGCCGTAAAAACTATGTCATCGGTAATTTATTCCATTGACCCAAGGTCGTTTCTTATTTTAAGATGACATGCCATCCTCGAATACCAGACGACACCCGTAGGCCGGTTGACTGACGAAGCCGTAGTCACGTCAAAATAGTATATAATTTTATTAACCTACCTGTCCTATGATTCATTTATTTAATCTATCACATTTCACAATGTCTGAAATACGTATTCCATTTCAATTTATCATTTCTTATCGATGAATTAAAAAACTATTCACTATTCCCGCAATGTTTTTGAAAATAAAATCTCGAAAACACTTTTCGACAACGGGTCCACAGCGAACATGTCAAAGAGCAATGTAAAGACTTTTCAAGCTATATATTATACAAAGTAATAGATAAAATTTTAAAAATATATCTTAAAGTTGTCAGACTTACATTTAAGTTATTATTTCCATCTTTTCGTGCGATCGCGTGTAATGTAAGTCAAATGACATCTCGGCTTTCGTCGTCTCAATTTCCTCGGTTCGGAGACGATGTTTAATGCAAAAATATAAGCATGAAAAATCTTTGTCACAGCTCGTAACCTGGCACGATACATCTATGAAGTTCCATATTTTTAATATAGATCGCAATTTCCTGCTTAAAACTTTTAGAATAACACGATTTAACAAAAGTCTTTCGTCAAATTCTGAAATTTATCAGATCATAGATGTAATTTGATTGGCCGACTTAGGTCACGTGCTCAGATTTGACCAGTCACGAACCTTGTAGCAGATTTTGGCAAAGACAGAGTCATTAGAAACCAATTTTATCAAAGCTTTCTAGCGATGTGTCACATGGCAGTCTTCGACGACCGTGTTATATGAAAACGGAGGTATCTCTTCATGTTACTGAACGAACAGCCGCTGTTATCGGGAAATGGGTGATGGCAGATACCAGATCTATTTACAATTATTTTTAAAATATTTTTTTCCAATTGTGTTTTTTATGAAATCTTATAGATTCTGTTTGCGAAAATCGTCAATTTTGCGCTTCCTTGGTCCTTAATCTGGACGTTATGAATGTGTTAGCTTACATTTTCTTTCTTTATTTACAACGAACATAATTAAGTTGTAAATGCATTATCTAAATAATGTGATAAACATAACATATTTTATAAACAACAGGATTGGAACTTGAAATGGTGTATAATATGTGCTAGCAAAGATGTTTTACAAACATGCAGATATTTTCTTTGATAAATGTTTTATGAGTGTAATTTAATTACTTTGTTATCTGAATGTCATAACATGCATAATCAGCCATTATTTATATGCAGCATAAATCACGATCATGCAATCTTGTGATATATATTTTGAAGTTTTGAGTTGAGAAAAAATAATTGCTTGTTGATTTTTGATTTTGCTTGTAACTTTTAAAACCACAAGCAAAAATTTGCTTGTGCCTAAAAAAATTAAATTCTAACCCTGTGGTCTGCAAAGCATTGTGATGCAATTTCATTGCAGCAATATCTACAATGTAGAATGTAGTTTTGGATGATAAATAGCGATACACATATTTCGTCAAATCGCATGGAAACTTCTTGACAATTAATGTTTC